ACTTTAATTTTTAAAGATTAAAAATAGGGTTCCGATCAGTTATTATAATGAATCGATTCAAAACCAAAAGTAAAAAAGGATGAACATTAAACATTCGAAAAATAGCTGAGATAGGTCATGTAAGTGAAATGAATAATGTTTGTTATCGAGATGAAATTGGAGTTGAAAGGACAAACATAATGTATACGGCATTCGAATATTATCAAAAATCGGTTGAGATGGTCGGTTGGCAATGTGAAAAAAGAATAAGAGTTGGAAAGGATGAATTCAAGGCATTCCAATATTATAAAAAATCGGCCGATATGTATGGTTGGAATTATGTCATTTAAAGGCATTTGAATATTATCGAAAATAGTCTGGGATGGATGGCGCTGATGGAATGCGCATTTGTTGATCAATGATGTGAAAAGGGAATGGGAGTTAAAAGGATGAATACATGAAATTAGATTAAAAAGGATGAACATAAGACATTCGAATAATATAAAAAACCGACCGAGAAGCGTAATGGAAACAGAGTTAAGTTGAACATAAGGTATTCGAATATTATAAAAAAATCGGCTTAGATGGATAGTGATGATGGAATGCGTAATTTATAAATCTAAGTGGTGCATTTGTGCCGCATATCAAGCTAGTAACTATACTGTTTACGGTAAATTAAAAGTTATATGTACTGTGATTTAAGAGTTTCGATCATAATAATCATGTATATTATTATGATCACATCGAAAAACGAATGCATGAGAAGACTTTATTAAATATTATCGTTATGCACAATAAGCTACGCCAATTAATAATGATCGTGTATGCTAATAATCATGTCAAAAGTTATTTAAGAATCTGACCTCCCATAAAAATTAACTCGTACAACAATGCCAAAACAAAATAAACGCACAAGACATTCTCGGAAAGCCAGCGAAATATGTTGGAAAAACAAATCACATTCTCTATCCTCGTCACATATTAAATTGTTAAAAAACAAAAAATTAGATAATAAACTTATAACATTAGATCCCATAAATAATAATGTATCATTATCTTTAGATCCTTCTACAGATAGATTATTATCTCTCAATTCTTGCCTTAAAACTAGGGCTCCTAACAATATCACTTCAATACCACTTCAATACCAGTTCGATATTTAAATTTATTATAAAAACATATGAGTAGGTCACAACCCATATATTAAATTTACTATAGATTGGTACTATTTCAATATCAGTTTGATACTAGTTTGGTACTTTTTCGGAGTCCTACTTAAAACCAAGAATATTGGTATACATCTTTATACAATAAACCAATTTTTTCATCTTATTCGGGATCTTGAATATACAAAAATGGCAGCAAGTGAGCTTTTGGCTAAAAGTATTGGTAAAGGCCCATGGCATGCATGAAATATTTGCTCTTGGGCAAACCAGTGATTAGATAATGGCAAGCTAAATATATCGAAACATGGTCACCACTCAAAAGTCAAGTCTCTTCTTTTCTGCAAAAATATTAGATTATTAATTATCAAATATCTAAATATACACAAATTCAAGTTAACTATTTCAGAATTTGTGAAATTTATTAAAAATATAATTATTCCCATTCTTGAAATTCAAGAAAAAATAATAATTTCGAAAGTAACTGCATGTAAATGGCTTAATTATCTTGGATAAAAATATAAAGATCACTTTAAAACCTTCTATTTTGATGATTATAAGTGCAAAGATATAATAGCTTATAGAAATCAATTTTTGAAACAAATGACAAAACTATAAGTCCAAATGCTACTTATGAAAGAGAATATTTGATCAAATTATTATATCAATACTTCTATCAAATATTTCTGAAATTGTTCCAGTTACTTATGATAAGTTGATATTTTATACCAATAATGATTTTAATAAGACTTAGGATCCAATAGATAAAAGTAAACTATATTATAATCATAAAACCTTAGTATTCACATAAGCGATTTTCTTTGTGAATTTATTGGATATCTTCAACTTTCAAAAGAAGATTATATTAGAAATAATTTACTTCTTGATAGTGAATATCTTATATATATATACTCAAGCTTATGTTATTATTTATCTAGGCTTAAATCGTGATAGCTGGTAAACAAACTATGATATTATTCAACAAGTAACTGAATGAGCTATTCCTATATTTGAACAGATTCATTTTAACAAGATTATATTATTTATGTTTGATAATAGTAGTAACAATAATACATTTGTTGATGATATGTTAATAGTTTCACAAATAAATATAAAAGACAAAAGTAAACAATCACTTTTTCACAATGATATTATATCTGATGGTTCTCTTTATATTATGACATTTGTAAATATTAATAGTAAAATAAAACCCAAAGGAATTTGACAGATTCTTGAAGAACATAATTTATAGATACCAGGTTTAATATGATGATGTAATACTTGTATATAACATATTTCTGATTTAACAAAACTGAATTGTTATGCTACACATATTCTTTCTATTTAATCTGATTTTATGTTAACAAAACCATATATATAAGAGGTTATTGAAGCAACTGGACATATATATATTTTTTATCCAAAATTTTACTGTGAACTCAATTATATTGAGTTATTTTGGGCAGAAGCAAAATGATACCCACATCTTCATTGTAATTATACATTCAAAGGTCTCAAAAAAACTGTTCCATATGTATTGGATTTTGTTAGTTTAACAAAAATTCATCATTTTACATGCTGCTTTGCTTATTATATAAGTGCTTATGAACTTGGACTTTCAGGAAAGGCTACTATTTTTGTAATAAAATAATATCTGTCTCATTATTGGATTCTTGAAAGTGTTCTTAAGGAATTTACAAAAGGATAAAAATTGAAACAAATATAAAAAAAATGATAATCATATGTAATACATATAATTAATTTTTAAATTACTATAAATAGTAAGAAAAATTAAGCTATATTTTATTAAAAAATGTATCTTCTTAATAAAAAAAACAAAAATTAATAAAAAAGAATACATATTTTTATAGTTACTATTACAATTTATCAAAATATGCATCGTTTATTATAATTTAAGTTTAAATGTAAAATCCTTTACAGTTTTGGATGTCTTTAGACTTTTTGCA